CCGGCTCCAGTTCTAATACTGTTTTTACGTGGATAGGGACTTAATTTAGAGAAATCAGTAGTGTTGGACACCTCACGGGCAAAGAAACGCTAGCGAAGGGGCACGCGTCAACCAGGTAAGTCACCACCCGATATTTAGGAAGAAATACTTGTAGGGTTCGCTTGGATTGTATGTATGCATGCTAGTAATTTTGCCTTAAATTAGCTCTCCATGAATGAGATTAATTAGATGAATTGTTATGATGTGTTGGGTGAGTTATCTGAGTGTTGCTTGTATGCCTTAAGCTTCCGTTGTACGTATGCATGCGTTTAATTTATGTTAGAATTGTGTATGCCGAGTTTCGGGTGCTCGATGGACGAATTTGCCCCATTGAACGCGAACCTCGTGCTCTGGGTGCTTGATGGAGGTCATCGCCCCGTTGAGCCGGTATGCCTAGTTTGCATGAATTACATACTATGATGTTAGAAGAAGATTGCATGCACCCTCTGTTAATTGCTAGGGCCCATTTCTATGATAAGATTAGGGAATTTCTTTTAGGAGCGATATGCCGTTCTAGACAGACTTAATTTTCCCCTAGAAACTTAGCGGTTTACCACGGTAAGAAAGTACCTAAGGGGGTTCATAGATTGCTAGCGTGAGAACGGTATCTATAGCTTCGTGGGAGGACCAAGGGTCCCTGATCAGTCCTTACTGTTCTTAGCCATTTCGCATGGGAAATGTGTCCCCACGTCGTACAACCCATTAGCTGCATGGGAACGGGTTGGGTCGCGCCCCCCATAGGAGGACTATATGGGCGTAGGGGTATTCAGCACACCCCTAGGCTAGGTACCATGTAGTTCTAGATAGCCATGTAGAGGTAGCGCCTCATAGAGAGATACCGACCATATTAGCTTGACATAAGGAACCTCTAGGTGACTAATGAAAGGACGATGAACCAGTGAAACCCAAGGGGCAAGCCCCAAGAGACTAAGGTTAGAACCCGATGTCCTAGAACCGAATTAGGAAACCGTGGGAGTTCTGCTAAATTAAGATGCGAAAAGAGCCTACAAGTAGGTGGCTTACTGAGTATAATTTTTATACTCATCCTTGCTATGTTTCCTTTTTTTTCAGGGGCGCGAGGCGTCGGTCAAGAGTGGGCGTGATCTGAAGGGAATTGTCACAGAGGAATGGGTTGTCCCGGGGCGTCAGTCCAGTCTTAGTCATCATTTTTGTATTCGCATTCTTTTTAAATTTATTTTCCAAATGGTCTTGTGTTCTGTGTTTATCGTTCGAAAAACTTTATTGAAATTTGATGATTTTCGCTACTTCATATTTAAATCTCTTGTGCATCTGTGTCGTGTCGTTAGTCACTGTCCGTAGTAAAATATTGGGCTGTGACACTTTGGATCCCTTAAACCTTTCTTGGGCATCTTAAACATACCCAAGTATCTTAATCTAACTTGGGATCTAACAAAATCTTCCCAAAAGTTCATTGTTCTTACCATGCCTTTCGGGAGTACTTAGTCTTAGTTATGTCCTCCTAAATTTCTAGAGGGTCCTTGGATGGGTTTGGCCTTCTTCGTCCAGCCCTTATAATTTGCTATCATGTCCTTACAATTTTCCCTTGTAGCCTTTTGACCTCAACTAATACCATTCATTCGTCCGTTTTTTCATATAAAACAATTAAACTAAAAAAAGTTCCAAATAGTTCCTTTATCAAACTGTTAGGGATCCCAATCTCGTATCAAACTTATTTTTCTTCCTTTCTTTGGATCTCTTAAACCTTTCTTGGGCACCTTAAACTTATCCAAGTATCTTAATCGAACTTGAGCTCTTATAAATTCTCCCCAAAAGTTAACCGTTTTTACCATGACTTGGGGGAGTACTTGGTCTTAGTTATGTCCTTCTAGGTTACTTGAGGGTCCTTGGATGGGTTTATCCTTCTCCCTCATGTCCTAAAATTTTGCCCTTGTGGCCTTTTGTCCTCAACTAATACCATTCGTCCGTCCCTTCATGCATAACAATTAAACAAAAAAAAATTCGAAATAGTGTCCATTATCAAAATGTTGAGAGCCCAATCTTCTATCAAACATATTTTTCTTCCTTTCTTTGGATCTATTAAACCTTTTTTCGGCACCTTAAACTTATTCGAGTATCTTAATCGAACTTGAGCTCTTACAAACTCTCCCCAAAAGTTCACCGTTCGTACCATGATCCAGGAGAGTACTTAGTCTTAGTTATGTCCTTCTAAGTTTCTTGAGGGTCCTTGGATAGATTTGTCCTTCAATATCATGTCCAATTTGCCCTTGTGGCCTTTTGTTCTCAACTAATAGCATTCATACGTCCTTTCATAAATAACAATTAAACTAAAAAAAATTCGAAACATTGTCCATTAACAAAATGTTGGGAGCCCAATCTCATACCAAACTTGTTTTTTTTTTCCTTTCTTTGGATCTCTTAAACCTTTCTTCGGCACCTTAAACTTACTTGAGTATCTTAATCCAACTTGAGCTCTTAAAAATTCTCCCCATAAGTTCACCGTTTTTACAATGACTCGGGGGAGTACTTGGTCTTAGTTATGTCCTATTAACTTCCTTGAGGGTCCTTGGATGGATTTGTCCTTCAATATCACGTCCAATTTGCCCTTGTGGCCTTTTGTTCTCAACTAATAGCATTCATACGTCCTTTCATAAATAACAATTAAACTAAAAAAAATTCGAAACATTGTCCGTTGGGAGCCCAATCTCATATCAAACTTATTTTTTTTCCTTTCTTTGGATCTCTTAAACCTTTCTTCGGCACCTTAAACTTACTCGAGTATCTTAATCCAACTTGAGCTCTTACAAATTCTCCCCATAAGTTCACCATTTTTACCATGACTCGGGGGAGTAATTGGTCTTAGTTATGTCCTATTAACTTCCTTGAGGGTCCTTGGATGGGTTTGTCCTTCTCCATCGTGTCCTTAAAATTTTCCCTTGTGGCCTTTTGTCCTCAACTAATACCATTCATACATAACAATTAAACTAAAAAAAATTCGAAAGATTGTCCATTATCAAAATGTTGGTAGCTCAATCTCGTACCAAACTTATTTTTCTTCCTTTCTTTGGATCTCTTAAACCTTTCTTGAGCACCTTAAACTTATCGAGTATCTTAATCCAACTTGAGCTCTTACAAGTTCTCTCTAAAAGTTCACCATCCTTACCATGACTTTGGAGAGTACTTAGTCTTAGTTATGTCTCTCTATGTTCCTTGAGGGTCCCTGGATGGGTTTGTCCTTCTCCATTGTGTCCTTATAATTTGCCCTTGTGTCCTTCTGTCCTCAACTAATACCATTAATCCGTCTTTTCATACATAACAATTAAACTCAATAAATTTTTATAGATTGTCCATTATCAAAATGATGGGAGCTCAATCTCATACTTTAACCCACATTTCTCGTATCCAAACTTATTATTCTTTCTTTCTTTGGATCTCGTAAACCTTTCTTGTACTTCATAAACTTGCTCGAGTATCTTAATCCAACTTGACCTCTTACAAATTCTCCCCAAAAGTTCACCGTTTTTACCATGACTTGGGGGAGTACTTGGTCTTAGTTATGTCCTTCTATGTTCCTTGAGGGTCCTTGGATGGGTTTGTCCTTCTCCATCATGTCCTCAACTAATACCATTCATCCGTCCTTTCATACATAACAATGAAACTAAAAAAAATTCGATACATTGTCCATTATCAAAACGCTGGGAGCCCAATCTCATACTTTAACCCACAATTCTCTTATCCAAACTTATTTTTCTTCCTTTTTTTGGAACTCTTAAACCCTTCATGTGCTTCTTAAACTTACCTGAGTATAATAATCCAACTTGAGCTCTTACAAATTCTCCCCAAGAGTTCACCGTTTTTACCATAACTTGGGGGAGTACTTGGTCCTAGTTATGTCCTTATATGTTACTTGAAGGTCCTTGGATGGGTTTATCCTTCTCCATCATGTCCTTACAATTTGCCCTTGTGGCCTTTTGTCCTCTAATACCATTCGTCCGTCCTCTCATACATAACAATTAAACTAAAAAAGGTTCGATATAGTGTCCATTATCAAAATGTTGAGAGCTCAATCTTATACCAAACTTATTTTTCTTCCATTCTTTGGATCTCTTAAACCTTTCTTGGGCACCTTAAACTTATTTGAGTATCTTAATCCAACTTGAGCTCTTACAAACTCTCCCCAAAAGCTCACGGTTCTTACCATGACTGGGTGGAGAACTTAGTCTTAGTTATGTCCTTCTAAGTTCCTTGAGGGTCCTTGGATGGGTTTGTCCTTCTCCATCATGTCCTTATAATTTGCCCTTGTGGCCTTTTGTCCTCAACTAATACCATTCATCTGTCCTTTCATACATAACAATTAAACTAAAAAAAATTCGATACATTGTCCATTATCAAAACGTTGGGAGCCTAATCTCATACTTGAACCGACAATTCTAGTATCCAAACTTATTTTTCTTCCTTTCTTTGGATCTCTTAAACCTTACTCGAGTATAATAAAACAACTTGTGCTCTTACATTCTCCCCAAAAGTTCACCGTTTTTACCATGACTTGGGGGAGTACTTGGCCCTAGTTATGTCCTTACAAGTTACTTGACGGTCGTTGGATGGGTTTATCCTTGTCCATCATGTCCTTACAATTTGCCTTTGTGGCCTTTTGTCCTCAACTAATACCATTCGTTCGTCCTTTCATACATAACAATTAAACTGAAAAAAGTTCGAAATAGTGTCCATTATCAAAATGTTGAGAGCTCAATCTTAAACCAAACATATTTTTCTTCCTTTCTTTGGATCTCTTAAACCTTTCTTCGGCACCTTCAACTTATTCGAGTATCTTAATCCAACTTGACCTCTTACAAACTCTCCCCAAAAGCTCACGGTTCTTACCATGACTCGGGGGAATACTTAGTCTTAGTTATGTCCTTCTTAGTTCAGTTCGGCAGAACGCGGGTCTCCAAAACCCGATGTCGTAGGTTCAAATCCTACAGAGCGTGATTCAATTGTTGTTGTTGTTAGATCAAAATTAGACTGAAATAATTCAACAGAAATCAAAATTTTACCTCCTGCAAGTAGGAGGTCCATCAAAAAAAGAACTTTGGGTGGGTTTGTCCTTCCCCATCATGTCCTTATAACTTACCCTTGTGTCCTTTTGTCCTCAACTAATACCATTCATCCGTCCTTTCATACATAACAATTAAACTAAAATAAATTCGATAGATTGTCCATTATCAAAATGTTGGGAGCCCAATCTCATACTTTAACCCACAATTCTCGTATCCAAACTTATTTTTCTTCCTTTCTTTGGATCTATTAAACCTTTCTTGGGCACCTTAGACTTATTCGAGTATCTTAATCCAACTTGATCTCTTACAAATTCTCCCCAAAAGTTCACATTCTTACCATGACTCGGGGGAGTACTTGGTCTTAGTTATGTCCTTCTAAGTTCCTTCAGGGTTCTTGGATAGGTTTGTCCTTCTCCATCATGTCCTTATAATTTGCCCTTGTGGCCTTCTGTCCTCAACTAATACCATTCATCATATCTCCTTTCACACCTAACAATTAAACTAAAAAAAAATTCAAAAGATTGTCCATTACCAAAATGTTGGGAGCCCAATCTCATACTTTAACCCACAATTCTCATATCCAAACTTATTTTTCTTTCTTTCGTTGGATCTCTTAAACCTTTCTTGGTCACCTTAAACTTACCCAAGTATCTTAATCCAACTTGAGCTCTTACAAATTCTCCCCAAAAGTTCACAGTTCTTACCATGACTTGGGGAGTACTTGGTCTTAGTTATGTCCTTCTAAGTTCCTTTAGAGTCCTTGGATGGGTTTGTCCAAGGCCTTTTGTCCTCAACTAATGTCATGAGGTCATCTACTTATTACGACATTCGTTCTTCTCAACAATCTTCTTAACATGTTTTATTGAAATTACATGTTTTTCTTGGTCATCCTTGTGTTTCCTTCTCTCTTGGAGCATATTTTCTTCCTCATGCCCAACTAACTTTGACATAATCAACCTTGTTCCTTTTTGTACAAGTCTTATTGGTGGGTTCTCTTATGGTCTAAAGTGCTTCTCACCTTGGTGTCACGAGGTTCCTTAACCCTCGTAACTATACTTGGCCTTGTAAAGTAAAGACTGTTTCTGACTGTCTATAGTCTTAGTTCTTCCACCTTGGTGCAACAACCCTAAAGTTAACCTAGCTCCCAAAATCCTAAGATTTTCTTCGATACCACTCTCTCACGACCAAAATTTCACAAGTCGCGACTATGTAAAAATTTGGAAAGACAAAAAGACAGTAAAAATTTTCGCGTTTAAAACAAAAACATAAAATACATTTTCTTCAAAATAAATTTTATGAGTTTAATACATTGGGCCCAATAAACAAAACAACTTAAGACATTCAAGAGTTGAAAACTCGATGTGGTTCTCTATGGCACCTGCTCTAGGACCGCTTCCATCCTTGATCAACTCCTTCTGGTCACATGTGATAAACATGCAAGAACTAGAATAAGTACAAAGGCGCAATAAATAGCCTACTTGATGGCTATTAATCGTGTCTTTGGTAGATGTTAGGGTACCATACTCATTTCTTGTCATGTTTTTATTCTTGTTCGGAAAACTTAGGTCCTTAGGTTTTATTCTTCGGTTCTTAGTTCTGTTATTCTAGTGTTTCCCTTGTTTTCACAAACCTCTTTTTGTGATCCCTTTATTCCTTGATTCCTACACAATTGTCTTTGATTCAAATTCTTTCTTACCTATGGCATATGACAACTTATTCAACCATTTTTTGCTTTCCAATTCCAACAATTGTTTGCTTTCCAATAACATGTAGTCCTCCATTTACCACACACTAGCGGATTTTTTTCCACTTTGAGTAGAGATATCTTTTTCCACTTTGAGAAAAGATATCAACTAGATCTATCCCTCCTATGGTCTTGCCCAATCTACGGGTTGTAGTTCCATGGTGAAAGAGCTTATTTTTCATCGTTTTTCGGATTTTGAAAGGGATTTTCTTTGGTTGAAAGGAACATTACGATTTTTAAAGGGATGGGAAAAGCTTGGGGTGAGGTGTAGCCTTATTGGATCACACCTTTGTATGGGAGGGCATGTGCAATTTTTTGTAATTACCCTTTTAGTCTTATTTTGTTTGATTGGAGCATCTTTTAGGTAAATTGGGCTTTTCTTTTTTCTTTAACATTCATTACAATCATTTATTGTAGTTTAATCTTTTACTCTTTAAACAAAAACATAATATCAATAGCACAAGGAACATAAAAAATAATAATAAGAAGAAGAAGAAGAAGAAAGAGATAATAAAAGTTATATATAGGAACTAACCTTCGATTGGGAATAGATATTGAAGATAAAGGCTTTCAGCCGAAGGTCAACTCCTTGATGTTTTAGATGTTTTAGGACCACAACATTGCTAAAGATGCAACTCCGGTAAGAACTAAGCCGCATATATGTAGTTCATGACGTCAAATAGAAAATTTCTTACGTGATTGGAGTGTTTAAAGTAGCAACCGGAGTTGGATTCCTCGTAGAATGGCCTCAACTTTATTATCTCCATCTATTCCCTCCACCACTTCCATCTGAAATTTTTATAACATAGTTACTCACCAAAAGCTATAGAAAGTGAACATAACACAAATTTGACCCAAAAGTAGAACTAATTCTAGTTTGTCAAAATGTGAATAGAATATAATTTTAAATAATATTTACAAGATCCAAATTTGGTAGGCTAATCCATAGCTTTCGTGCGCGGGTTAAATAAGCACCAAATATCAACTTTGAAAATTTGTGTTTTATTGCATATGCATAAAATAGTCCAACATGGTTTATCATGAATAATTTTGTAGTGTTATTCAATTGCCAAATCCCTTTCAAACATTTTTGCACCTTGTCAGGGGACTTGCAGCCATATAATAATTTCTAATGAAGCAAGCTTGTAAGACACAAAATCTTCTTAAGCAACCACATCAGAAGCAGCTTGTTTTATACCGAAAGGATTGTTGGACGAGCTAGAAACTGAAAGAGCTCTTTTTCATCTTTAAAATGGTAGAAGACTAGAAGAGTTGTTCTTGGTTTTCAATATTCAGTGGGTTTTCTACAATGCTATCAAGGACAACATTTCTCAAGTACTTATTGAACCCTCTTTGAATTCAAAGGCCAATTGACCATGGATTAAAGCAGTATACGAGCACCCAACCATACCCTCTAGTTAATTTCATCAATTTAATACAAGTTTAGTAAGAACAATGGCTTACCTCTGTGTATTGTGGTACCCTAACTGTTTGCAACAAACTTTACATGAATCCTACCGTCCTGCATGATATAATCAATTAAAAAAATAATTATGTATTAATCTTCAATACAAATAAATCATTAAGTTTGACAAATAAATGGTTAAAGTACCTTCTATTTCAACAAACTGATTGTTATCCAGGCAGTGTATATCTCTATATCGTTCATCGTCATGACCTAGAGGTTAATAAGAGCAAATTTAGAACCAAACGACTCATTCTCAAAAACTCCGGTAGTTGAAAAGCAAAATTATTCAACCCAACCAACTTGATCGATCATAAAATATAACTAGTTTGAAAATCCCACCGGCCTCAGTGGCAGGACGAACTGCTTTTCTTTTGCCCAAGCAATCACTTCATCGAGAGCGACTGCTTCGTTCTTCCGCTCTCCGTTATCGGCACCAATCTCAATGACATAAGAGTTCGTCGTCTTCCTCTCTTCTGCCAACACATAAATTTGAATATCAGGTTTGTCCCCTGGCTCCTCACATAGAGAAGAGATAGAAGATGACGGAGAATGAAACGAGAAGTCCAACATAATAATCACGTTACCATGGGAGCAATGAACCTACTAAAAACGCCCTAATCCTCCGTGATCGAAGCCACGAAAAATACAAAAGGTGTCGATAACAGGCAGAAACGAGAAAAGAAAGAACAATCCTTTGATTAACCTCGGAAGTTCTCCAGTGAACCCCTAAATCGGAAAAACCTCTGAAGTTTTCCAATAAACCCATAAATCGGAATAGCCGGCTGTGCCCTTAAAATTTCAAACCCAGAACAGAATTGGCAAGACCAAAGTACCCATAAAACTAAGAGACTGAAATAAGGTTACTTCACCTCTATTTTTCACCACCGAGACGATGCGAGAAACTCCTTTCGCTTGTGCTCTCTCTACTCCTTTCGCTTGTGCTCTCTCTTCCTCCGATTGCCTGGTAGACCTAGCGTTTGGTTTCGGCAACGAACACTCAAAAGGGAAGAGGCCGTTGATGGAGCACTCGGATACTAGTGTGAGAGTGTGCTGAAGAAGAGAATGCGAGTGCGGGGGGATATACATAACGAACACTCTACTCCTTTCGCTTGTGCTCTCTCTTCCTCCGATTGCCTGGTAGACCTAGCTTTTGGTTTCGGCAACGAACACTCAAAAGGGAAGAGGCCGTTGATGGAGCACTCGTACACTAGTGTTAGAATGTGCTGAAGAAGAGAGTGCGAGTGCGGGGGGATATATATAGCGAGTGTGAATGCGCGGAGGCCGGGCAACGGCTCTGAAGACCGCTTGACGCCAGCTAAGGGCGGGTAACGGCTCTGAAGACCGTTTGACTTTGACCGTGGAAAACTCTCGACGATGCAAAGGTTGAAGTTGAAGGTTATATTTCCGAACTCACAAAACCCTTTTTTTTTCTTTTTTCTTTTTTTCTTATTTAGTGTAGGTGTGGAACCATTCGGTGTAATCTGCCGCGTGGCAGTGACTGAAGAGGGCCCAGAAGGAAAGCAAAAGAAAGAAAAATGGGCCCACTTTAGTTTAAGGCCCATTCAATGGACACCAATGACGTGGCTATAAGTTCCAAATTCTCTTGATTATCTTTCTTCATCGTTTTTTTAATATATTGATTAATTGAACTAGGTTACCTAATGGTTTGTCCATATAAGCTCTTACCAATAAAAATAATCAAAATAGTTCTATCGACAATTGATGCACGATTAACGTAAAAATCACTTAAGCTATAATATATTTTATAGTAGATAAACGTTTGATCATTTGATAGATATTAAAATCACTTAAGCTATAATATATTTTATAGTAGATAAACGTTTGGTCATTTGATAGATATTAAAAGATATGCATTAAATTTTAGGTTAATTCTTAAGATTAGTTTGTTTATTTTATAAGAATTTCTTTTAGAATCTTACCTGAATCACTTAATAATTTATTTCAAAATTTATACTAATTATGTGAACATTATAAATGGCACAACTTTAAGTGAGAGTTTATTTTAAAGAATTTATATAAATGAAAAGGGCATTTTATAAATGGCACATTTGGAAGGTTCAAGACCTACGTATTTAATTTGTTTTTAAAGGAGTCAAGTGTTCAAGACCTACGTATTTAATTTGTTTTTAAAGGAGTCAAGTATTTATTTACGGCGGAAAAGATGACTTGGAGCTTAGAAAATTAATTTTCCTTATTTTCCTTGATCGTTTCATTTTGAATGTCAAAATTATAGAAAATGACATTTAATCATCCATGCCAAATTTTATTTTATGATTTCAAAATAATTCTATGTCCCCACCAAATCACCCTTCTTCTTTTTTTTTTTTTAATAATTATTGTCCTAAAGTCACCATATTGTCCATTCAAATATCCTTCCCATTAGCAAATATCCCATTGAATATGAAATTACTAGCAAACATATTCATAAAATTAACGGTGCTGATATTCGTATGACAAATCATCAAGCATAGGTTAGGTGTTATTAATAGAACGTCACATTTCTATTCAACTTTTTAGAGTTCCCTGCTTTTTCTAGACAAGAGAAGGACTTATACTCAGGATTGTTTCAATTATTCAAAATCATGTGGGATTCTTACAACTAATAGTTGCATGCTATCAGATCTCTAACCAACATGAGGATACAACTCTTTCCTTTGTCCTGCTACCCTCCTGGATTGAGCCTTCACGCTCTTCCTCGCTCAAGCTACAGATCGAAATAGAGGAGGCTAAAGAATCCCTTTTCCTTTGCCTAATCCAATGTGCTTTCATTAGAGTTGCTAGACAAATAACTTGGCAAATCAGTCCATGTAGAGAAAATTGGAAAATTTACAACTTTCATATGAATCAAGCCCAGGTCGAAAGTCTAACATTCTAATTCCTAACGACAGATCTCGTTCGGGTTTTCAACTTTCTAAGATAGCACATATGTGATCGTTCAACTTCAACCAGTGGCTGGATTCACTGTGGAAATTTGATTGGCGAGGCACATCAACTCCAGTGCACATGAAAGATTAGCGGTAAAGATCCTGTTTAGCATATATTTGTCTAGCGGCTGAAATTCTTGGAAGTTGTAATCAAACAACATTATGAAACAAACTCTCTAAATGTTCTGAAATTTGTAATCGACGTGTGACTTTTAACAAGTACAGCTGATTACAGAGAATTCCCTACCCAACATCTGTTGTACTAAAAGAAAAAAGAGAGAGCTGATTACCAAATCCTCCAGCTACTACAAATCTTATGAGAGAGTCTGAAAGGGAGAGATAGAGAGAGAGAGTTGTAAAACATTAAGTAATAGAGAAAGAGCCTAAAGGTCTTATGTACTTGAGCAAAAATACTCCGGGGGAGAAACAAAATTGCAAAAAAAAAAAAAAAAAAAAT